TAAAGCGTGAATGACGCTCTGTATACGATTTTAACGCCCTATAAGTTTGGACACTTTTTAGCGCGGACCCGACGTCCATATAATTGTAAGTCAATGGTTTAAAGACTTATTTCTCACTAAGAGTAGTTTACACATGGCGACGTTTAGCACCGATGCAGCCGCGCGTTTGCATCGCTGCTGAATTTCCATTCAATTAACATGACCAAAAATAACAAAATATGAGTACAGTTGAAACATCGAGCGACAAAGTTAAGTATTAGATCATTTCATAGGCGGGTAGTTGCTTATTTAAATGTGTGTTAGTTCGCTCAATTCCGAACATGAATGTTGGTATACAATTTTTTTAAATTATAGTTATGTATTCTATGCCTTTAACATAATTCAATACAGTACACACATCTATAGCTTTACTTAAAAAATCAAATAAGTACACTAATATTTATCGACTTTACCTCATCCCTATAACAAACGTGATATGAAGTGTCACAGGGATCATAATAGTTTAGTAAAATGAAAAATACGAGTAGTTATTTAATTATAATTTGATCAAACAGTGGAGTTGGATCCCAGAACCTCACCCGGCTTCAAGATCGCGGCCCGCGCTGGCTGTGGACACCCAGGGCACCAATGACAAGTCCTGACGCAGCCACTTCAGACTCCGAGACCCGAGAACGCGAATTTGCTGAGGTCCATTGGAGGAAGCTGGAAAGACATAAATTTAACAAATTAACGACGACCCTATTGACCGCTGAGTGTATCGCCGACAGTGCAAGCGCTTAGACAAGTCTTTTACATTACAATGCTTATACAACCCCAGCATTCGGTTCTGCATGACTGCACACGATGGGCAGCGTGGTTTTCACCTCTCTGAGAGCGTGTTTGGGTTCCTTTTTCTTCATCGTGAGCGAGTGGTGTCATTAGTCAGATTTAGTAGGCTATTATAGCGTGGGTATTTTCGATTTTGTATTGTATTGTAGAGTGTAGTGTTGTATTGTATTAATTATTATTATTATTATTATAACGAATACACTCAACATAGCCCCGCACTAGGGAAAGCTGTGTCGCGGGTGCCACGGACACATACATAGACAACTACAAATTACACCCAAACTCACGAGAGAAATAAATGTAGGCCATACAAGTATTTCTTCCAGCCCGGGAATCGAACTTGGGACCTCTGCGTACAGTTCGGCATGGTAACCGTTCGGCCACGGAGGCAGTTAAATTATTTATTATTATAGTAATTATTAATTTTTAAAAATTATTATTGCAGTAACCATTACTTAATCTGTGCCAATGACCTAATCACTGTGAACACTTAGGTTCCTAACTGATTGATTGCATTTTTTGCAGTTAATGCGTGACGTCATAATCAACTTCATGCAGCCGAGACCTCGACTGCATGAAGTTCATAAGAAGAATATAAATTCCTTACCAGGCAAAGTATAATTGTAAACAGATCCATCAAGAGTAATGTTTCTTTCGTCGCTGGTGTCCTGTAGCCTGTGCTGTAAGATCCATTGCACCACCCCAGGGTTGTCTTCGTAAAACTGCTTCCAGGAAACCAGGATCTTCCCGTCCTCCAGCTTTGCCATTTTTATCGGCACTGCAGAGATAAATGTTACAGGAAATATTTAAACTGTTTTCATGCGTATACATATATACACGCCTGTCTCCCACAGGGTAAGTAGAAACCACGGACCTCCACGTTTCTGACAAACCTGCTTGAGTGTTAGAATAAGGATGTTCTTGTGTGTTTATTTTGTTTCTATTTCTTATTACATTTTTTGATTTAGTCAATGTTTTTAAGTTTAACTTCAATCATAATTTATTTATGCGACTAGGTCAGATATCTGCCGCATTTAATTTATTTTTTTGGTGCCAGTAACAGGACGAACAAGTCGTGCGCCTGGTGTTAACCGACACACCTGTCTATAGTAGTTGCAGTGCCACTCAGAGCTTTAAACCGCAAAGATCTGAGGAACACTGTCACTACGCCTGTCACTTTGAGACAAGTTGACAAGTCCCGTGTGCCTGTAATTTCACCAATTATATGTAGGTACTAAGAACTGTAAGTGAAACAATAAAAATAAAATAAAAATAAACTATTTACCCAACTTTTGTGAACCGAATTTCGACGATTCTTTTTTTGTTGGTAAGGGGATACGCGTACCTCAGTGGTACCATTCAAATTTGAAGAAAACTTTCTACCTCTAAATTCTTGTGCAGATACCCACTGTCACCGAATATCAGTTAAATAAATCGACCCCTCCTACGTAAAGTATCGTATGTCGAAATTGCCAAGTTTACAGGGAAGTGTTTTAAAGTTTTGAATCCACTGAAAGGAGAATAACAGGTGACTTTAGCATTTTTCAGTTTTATTTGGCAAACGGTTACTCACACAGAGTATTGTAAAATCCTACATATCGGTTAGATGATCTATTAGATTAGCTTTGTCGTCTTATGCTCATTTCAGTGAATTCAGAACTTTAAAATGCTTCACTGTAAACTTGGCAATTTCGACATACGATACTTTACGTAGGAGGTGTCGAAATATCTATCAGTAATTTAATTTGCGCGTTCTCACAATATTAATTTTGTTTCTGAGGGTATACACTTATATATATTTAGACTAAATCGCTTTCTAGCTAACCCTCACTCTCATTGTAGTATTGCTTACACATAGTAACTTAAATATAAAATACCGACTTCAAAAGTACGTGGAATTACATCTATTTGCCAAGTTTTATTCAAATCGGCTACCGGAAAGTGAGCAAAACCGGATTCATCCCCTAGTTTGCCACTATACGGGACTTAACATAGGATAATAGTATATTGAGAGAAAAACGCCTTCATTTGGAGCATAGCAAAATCAACCATTAAAATAATTGCTCCTTATAAAATTTAGGCGCTATATGTAAAAATAAATGTTCATGCGTGAACAGCCACCCTTAGATGTGGAATATTTTCTTCAAAATTAAATGGGACCACTAATGAGGTATCCTCTTTCCAACAAAAGAGAATCATTAAAACCGGTTCACAAATCGCGTAACATACATACAAAAAAAAATAACACAGTCGAATTGAGTACCTCCTCCTTTTTTTGAAGTCGGTTAAAAATAAAAAAGACTTCTTTATTTCTCCGCAAAACATAAGAAACACAATATTTGAATACTAATACAAAAAACAATTGAGTGATGTGGACAAAAAGGGTAAAGAGTCAGCATTGCTGATTTTCAGTCTTCACCTGTAGCTGTAATAGTACTTTTTGAAGTCGGTTAAAAATAAGATCATTTCGTGACAAATTGAGGCGATAAATCTAGTTTATTGAATTTCACCCACTTTCCATTAACAGATTTCAATAAAACTTGCGAAAACGGACAAAGCAAACTTTTAATGTAATAATTACGGTACCTCCTTGGCCTTGGCAAACGGCAGCTGCAGAAGGGTCGCTGGCAACATTTTTGCTAGGAGATTTAGGATGCATATACGATCGAATCTGAAGAAAGAAATTTGAGATTGAGTAATCAGCCGCAAGCATTAGCAGAAATCCCTTAATAGGCGAATTGCTTTCAATTGAGAGGCCGAATGCACGTTGGTAGCACGACATTATATCTAAATAGACACCGCAAATACCGCGATCTGTATGCCACATTTTTTGTACCTCTGATGACGTCACAAGCGCTATTTAGTGATGGGACATCTCCCTCGGCACTAAAGCTATAATATAATTAATACGTGTCCTTTATTAATACGTATTTCGAAAAAAAAGTTGCTCCGGAAAACAAAGAAAAAAAACTTTAATGAATATTTTTACAACATTTTCTAAGGCCTTAAGAATTATCATCCCTTTGTTTCATAAATCGATCAAAATCGAGAACAGTGTTGCATCAAGTGAACATCACTAATCGTAAAATTTGACCAAAAACATGCGCAGCGGCCGTACCACGACATTAAACGCATTGTACGAAAGTATCGCTCGTTCGATATTCATGGCCTACTAAAGAAGGACCACAAGTGTACAGCTCCAAGTGAAAGCCGCAATGTGTTACAAAGAACACGGCATACACCGTTTGCATATTTTTTTTATCTTTATTTATTTAAGGGTTTTGATCGTTATTGAACATGTCAGCCCATTGTTTTCTCGAAATTCAATGGTAAGATGGAAGTCTTATTGTTTTTTATGAAAATACATGCCATAAACCAGCTGCAAGTCAATAAAGTCCGTCCAACCCATTGACTTACAAATAAATGGACGACGGGTCTAATACAAAAACCACGAAAAAAATGTCCCAAGTCAACCTATTCGAAATTTAAATTGTTATGTCATCGCAGTATCGCGCTGTCCGTAGAACAAATGAAGACTAAAGCGGAGTGTCGCGCTCTGTATACGATTTTAGCGCCTTACAAGTGCGGACACTTTTTAGCGCGGACCCGACGTCCATATAATTGTAAGTCAATGGTCCAACCATTTATTTAACTTTTGACATATGCATACCTCCGAAGTTACACTTAATTAACACTTAGAAAAAAATTCCGTCGATCCGGCCGGATTCGAACCGAAGTCTTCTAGCATACCGTGGCAGACACTATACCAACTAAGCCACGGAATGAACCAGCGGACGTCACGATTTTGTCGATGTGCTTGTGTCGTGTACTTGGTTTTTCAACGACTTTTCAGCCGTAGCGCCATCTATGAGAAATCTATGATATTTCGTCACCCAGTTATATACCTTTACAGCTACCACCCCCGGCTAGAGATTATAACAAACTAGTGGAATAATTTCACATAAAAATAATTGAATATCAATTCAATAAAAATTTAAATTAGTTAACATGGTCGACTTATCGGAACTTACCCCAACGATGCATAGCTGAAATATCGTCAAACAGTCTCAATATTCTAAAACCGGGTTATGGCTTTTTCTGATATCTCAAAAAAATATTTTGTCATTTAGCGAGCGGCTGAATAAATGGTTGGACATAGTACAATACTAGTAACTGCTATTGTAATCTTTGCTGCCTACATGAAACAAATATAAAAAATATAACAAATTGCTCACTTGAAACCGGTAAGGAGTCAAAGAGGCGTCAACAGTTATGTTCTCTTCCGTATCCGTTACAGGTTTAGCAGGTACATTAAGCCCGGTTTTTGATTCTGAAACAAACAGTGTATCTATTTATACATGTATAGTAGATGGTATAGTTGCAAACAAATTGGGTAGGTAAAACAATTTTGTAAACGTCAGTTCGCATCAGAAGCGTAGATTAAAAATATTTTATATGAGATTTAAAAATGTTATTACAAATACTGGATTGTTAATATAATTGAAACTTAAATACCATCAATAGCTATTATTACAAGTTACGACGTTTTCTATTACATTCAATAAATGTTCTGCCATCTAGCGGCTCATTACTGAACGTTACGAATTGGAGTTATTAATTAGTTCTACAAACAAGAAGCGATCATACTGTAGGGGTTTAAGCTTTACTTTCGTTTCTTGTAACAAAAAAATATTTCGATAAACAGAAAATTGAACCTTTATTAAAATAAGGCTTTCCGATGATATGAAATACCACCACGGATAACGTTTGTATGCACTCCATAATAATACAATAAGGCATTTTTCTGGGGTCTTAGAGAATTTGCACGAAAGAATGACACAACCATACCATACAAAGCAAAAATGGCGGACTGAGCTCAGATAGGTCTTTCGAGACCTTTAGTTGGAACGCGTTCGCCGCTAACTAACCACTTCTGCTGTATTTATTGTTCTGTGTTACAAATAGTTTAATATAGGTATAAATGCAAACTCCTGACGCAATGTTGTATTACTACAATATTGCAAGCCCATTTTGTTTTTCATTTCTTTTTCTATCATAGATTATTCTAAAGGTATAAATATTTTATTAATAGTGACAGCGTTTTCCATTCATTTCAACAAATTTTAATATAATGTAAAAAACTATTTTTTATAACAAGAAGTTTAACATAACCTGTCAATGTTATGCTTTCAATTTTTCTATTATTTTCGTGAATAAGTTTCCCCGTTTTGCAGAGGCACAGGCGCAAACTGCAATGTGCATAAAAAGATATCATGACTTTGACATTCAGTTTTATTTTTCATCTCACTTGCTCGTAAATAGTATGATTACATGGCGGCTAACTTGACTATAATGCCCTAAATAAAACCCTCGGGCCTTTTTCTTCCCATTACAGCCATGATCGATAATGAGTTTCTTTTTGGTTGTTGCACGACATACTTTCTTACATAGGTCAGATTCAAGTTCAAGAAAAGAGGTTACTAAAGTTCAAAATTATAACATTTGTTTAAAATGTTATCTAAACAGAAATTTAATTACAATTCAGCCACATACTACTGAAATACTTATATTTTGGTTTTTTAAATAATAATAACGCACACACTCAACTTAGCCCCGCACTAGTGAAAACCCTGTGTCGCGGGTGCCATGGACATACACATAGACAACCAGACATTACACCCAAGCCCACGAAAGAAATAAATGTAGGACATACAAATCTTTCTACCGGCCCGGGAATCGAACCTGGAACAGTTACTTCGTATTAAAAATTTCTTATAATTGCTTTTAATTAGTTTCTGTATAAAATTTAGGAGTCTTTACATTTTAGTTCGAGTTTTTATATGTGAAAGAATAGCCAGATGACCATCTGTTGATAAAAAAACACGCCATTTGCAAAATTCATAATTTTTGTGTTATGAACCATATTTATTAATACAAGAAATAAACATTGTATTTATTTCCTCGTAATTGTGATGCAAAACATCGTAGACGGTAAAAAATACAAAACTCAAGTTATTAACGCCCTCAGTCTTCGGCTTCGGGCTTCTAATAGGGCCTCATTAGTAATTTCTATTCTTTGCAGATCTTACGTAGCGTGCCGTGGACAGTGTAAGCGATGACTTCGCCAACGGTAGGCGAATCCCACTTGACGGCGACTTTGCGGTCGCTGATCGGCCAGCACCGCACGTTTGTCGGAGCCGCTGCGTCCTCGCCGGTCACGTTCAGAATCGCCCAGGCCGAGGCCACACCTGCGACGTTCTGGGCGAAGCATTGGTAAACGCCTGAAAGGGTGCAGCTTGTTTTAATTCTAACCTTTTTAACCTTAATTTCTAAGTTACTTACATTTGTAACCGTTTCTCGTGAACGTGAGTCGAAGGTGGTTCGCGACCCATGGAAAACGTAGTCTCCAACCGTATCTCTCTTTCTTCACTTCATCAACCCGTTTATAGGTCACATTGCTGGCACGGGTCTCCTCTCAGGCCAGGGCCAATGTGAGTTAAGGACTTTCACGTTTTCCGAGGGTTGTGAACCTTCTTCGACGTGCAGTTTACATCACGATATTTTCCTTCACCGAAAGGGTCAGGGTAAATTTGAAATTAAATTTTGTAAATAAATTCCGAGGTGCGAGCACCGCCGTACAGTTGCCTACTTATCAGTATTCTACAGGATTTTTTAATGACACTAAGTGATGGGACGAAGAAGTCGTGCGCCTGATGGTAAGTGACACGCCTGTCCATAACAGTTGCAGTGCCATAAGTTGCAAAATACCATGTACCTGTAATTTCACCCTTCGAAATCGGGTTGACCCTTCAAAACCTGTCGCGGGTGCCACGTACATAAACATAGACAACCACAAATTACATCCAAACTCACGAGAGAAATAAATGTAGGCCATATAAATCTTTCTCCCGAACCGGGAGTCGAACCCAGGACCTCTGGGTGGCAGTCATGGTGACAGTTCAACCACGGAGGCAGTAATGAGAGTAGTACAGGAACGTCCAGTAGAAAGCGTAATAGATGAAAAAACTGTGCCCTATAAAATCGCCCGTAAACATTGACTTACAAATAAATGGACGACGGGTCTAATACAAAAACCACGAAAAAAATGTCCCAAGTCAACCTATTGAAACGTAGTGACATGTAAAGGAATATGAAAAAGCTAAAACGTTGAATTTAAATTGTAATGTCATCGCAGTACTGTCTAATTTTGCTTGCTTCGCTGTCAGTCGAACAAACGAAGACTAAAGCGTGAATGACGCTCTGTATATGATTTTAACGCCCTATAAGTTCGGACACTTTTTAACGCGGACCCGACGTCCATATAATTGTAAGTCAATGCCCGTAAACAAAGAAAAATAATTACTGAAATAGAATGTTATAGTCATTATAATCAGTCTTTTTTGAAGACGGAGTAAAATGACAGTTCATTGTTGCAAAAGTGTTGCCCTTTCTCCGTCTACGGTTACCCGCTTGCAAGCAACTAGTGATTGCGGTCGATAAATAGTCTATGGACTATCAACTGAATGTTGGTCACGTTTATGCAATAAATAACCGAGCTTGTTTGTTTTAAATCAACATCGGCCCGTCATTCGCCCAACCGCTGAGCATAGGTTCATTTGAATAGTCAATTTTTGTAAATTAACACTGTATTTACAACTGTTTATTAAAAATAGAAAAAGGAAACATATTTTAAAGAGTTTTCATTTCAATTCAATATAGATAATCAAATCCGTCTGTTCTTGTTAAAATGTATATGAATTAAAATTGATTTCGATACTAATAGTACAACTGTCAAAATAAGAATTGAAAAGGCAATAAATAACACAAATAGTAATCAATAGAACATCGTTACATTCACAATTCTATCATAACTTTCTCATAGATGGTGCTACGGCTAAAAAATGGTTGAAAACCAAATAACAAGATCCGACAACAAGCACATAGAAAAATTCATGAGGTCTGCTGGTTCGTTCCGTGGCTTAGCTGGCATAGCGTATGGCACGGTTTGCTACAAGACGTCGGTCCGAATCCGGCCGGATCGAAGAATTTTTTCTTAAGTGTTCGATCTTTGTATTAATATTAACGAACTAGTGGAGTAATTTCACAAAAAATAATTGAATATCAATTCAATAAAAATTTAAAATTTTATCTTCTTTCACAATCCGTCGATAAAGCTGTCGACAATAACTACATGACTATTTAAAATTTTATAAAAAATGGCAACCCTGCAAATGTCATTTTACTTCAAAACAGACAGACTGTAGGTATGTGACGATTAGTTAACTCCTAATAATCATGTTAAGGAAATAACTGATCCATACCTGCGTCATCAGAAGTAACGCCGCTAATCACAAGTTCATTACGTTGCCCGTCTGCCGATTTCCTCAAATTGATCTGTAACAAAACAGAAATTCGTACATTCTGAATATTTGCACTACGGGATTTTTAATGCCCTAACGGTTTACATTTCTGACGGGACGAACAAGTCATGCGCCTGGTGGTAAGCGACACGACTGTCCATAAGAGTTGCAGTGCAATTCCGAGCTTGAAATCAAAACGATCTGAAGGGCGATGCTACTGCGCCCGTCACCCTGCGACATTAGTTGACAAGTCCCATTAGCCTGTAATTTCAACAGCACCTTCAAAACCGAAACGCAGTAACACTCACTGTTTGGTGACAGTGACAGATTACGAATTCCGTTACTCTGGTAATATTTATACTTACTACTACACTTTATATATGTATTCACGTCCTTAGATTCCCATTGCGGTAAGATACTATCCATCGACGTTTTGCTGGCAAATCTCTACTGCGTCATTTACATTCATCAATCTTTTCAAACAAGCCGCCTATTCTTTTCACTACGCATTCCAACCTTTTAAACATTCTCGATTCTCGATTTTAAAACTTGTCGTCCAACGTCTGAAGGAACACAACCGAGTAGGCTTAAATCACCATCGGTTATATAACCAGAAATGATACGAGATGTCATTTAATTTGTTTGAAAATTATTCTGCCAAATCATTGCGGTGACAACTGCGCTCCGATTGACCAGCCCGAATTCGAAACAATATCGTCAATTGTTTTACTTCAAATCGACCAGTAAACTGGTCGATTAAAGTAACCAGTAAACTGGTTGGTTTTGGTCTCTCTCTCGCAAACGAGAGTTAATATTTAAAAGTGATATAAGGCCATTTGCCTGATGAGTAGCCAGGGATGGATGGCCCTTGTTTCGTCTCTACTTCTGGTTATACATATACTCGATAGCTTGAATAGTTCATGAACTAAGAGTTGCTAGGAATTAATTCCTGACACTGACCGAAAGGAACTAGTTTCTTGTGCACGATCTTGTCTTTTTAGTTCGTTCTTTCATGTTTTCAGTTCACAGAAGTGTACAGGGCAGGACGGCGCGCAAAAAAGAAAACAGTTATGAAATGACTCATTACGTTAACCCAGTACTTAGTGCTCATACCATAAAATAAATAATAAAAACAAAAATAGTTCAGCTACAGGTTCTCGTGTAGATAAAGTAAGTGAGATTCGTCGAAAACAATTGTGACAATGGTAACGCTTCTTGAAATCGAAATGACGTCACTCGTCGACAGCAAAAGAGGATAGAGATGTCTGTTCATGAAGCTGTCGTCTGACACTTGCCAGTCAACCCGTGATCATGGAGCGATTAACCGTTCCGAAATATCGCAAAAATAATGAGAAGTAATGACGTGACGTCATTCCGATACCACCAATGAACAATACGCCAACTTTGTTTTTTTGTTTTTTGTCATTTTCTGTTATCTTTTTTAAACAGCCGTATTTATTTACTAATATTATGCTCCCCGCATTTTGTGAAAAAAAAAGGAACAAAAACAAAATTCGAAGAAAAACCAAAAAAATTTTGTGAAAAATAATCTAAAAAAATAAAAATAGAACAGGTGCAAAAATTAGGTTGCCGTATTGCTCATTGGTTATCTATCTGAGAACGTCTTTAGTTGGCTTTGTGTATCTCTTTCATCACTTAATTCATCAGCTCCATGTTGCCAAATTATCTCAATGCTGTACGCAATATGTTTTAATACATAAAAACCGCAAAATACCATAGAGATTTAAACTCAGGAACGAAGACAATAAAGTTTAATTCGCACATCTTTTCACCGAAAGTTGGAAACTAAAGATTACTTCCGAAAGAAGTCTCATCTGCGAAACATCAGGTGACAAGGGACTTAAAGATTCGTGACGTGCAAGTTACGAAACCATTAGAAAACTTTGAGAGAAATATTCCAAGGAGGTGTGAAAAAGTGTGTCAGATAACTTTTATTATAATCGCGGTTGTCTAAAGTTCTGAGATACCTTTTTGATTTTCTGCAAGCATTTGTATTGACGTCAGGGCCATTTCAGCACAAACTGTTGCAATTTAGTATGACCAGTACAAAATTTTGTTTTTCTCCATAAATATTATATTTAGATCAACGTTCATCTCGGACAAACAGTCCAATAAGGCTGAGCCAACTTCGAGGAAGAGGTCAATCGTCGGATCCGACTCGCTGGGCAGCTTTCGGGAAGCTCCGGGACGTCATCTCGTCCGCAATACAGCAGTCCTTGAAGACAAATGTCTTAGAGCAGTGCGTGTTGCCACAGATGACCTACGGTTCTGAGACGTGGTCACTTACTACGGGCCTCATACCAGTGATCGTGATACTGATCGAAACAGAAATGAGGAAATCCGTAGAACGAAAGTCACCGACATAGGTCAAAGAATTAGCAAGCTGAAGTGGCAGTGATCAGGGCACATAACTGCTAGTAAACCACGATTTTTTTTTTTTTTTTTTTTTTTTTTTTTTTTTTTTTTGACGGATGACCTGGTAAAGGCGGCGGGTAACCGACGGGTGCACGTTGCGTCCGACCGACGAGTCTGGTCTTTTTAGTTGGTGATCTTTGCGGAAAGCCTATGTTCAACAGTGAACATCTTCCGGCTGATTCGATTATGATCAATGCGTACTAATTTATGTTCTATATGCTTTTGTGTTGTACCTTGTGAAATGTTAGGCGTATGATTTCTTAACTCACCCGGCCTGCCATCGTCAGTAGAGTCCAATTCTTGTACCAACTGATGTTTGGCTCCGGTCGTCCACTCGCCGTGCAGTTGAAGCGAACAGTGCTCGCTCGCAGCACTTCTTTCCCTGCTGGAGGGATCGTGATTTCCGGTGGCTCTGTTATTGTAACATTGAAGGTCTGGAAAAAAAATCCTTAATTGCGTAGATGTTATAATGCAGCTGGTTGCTTCATTCTCCCGTTAGCTTTACTTCTTAACGTCACTGTACATTTATGACATTGTTAAGAATAATGTACATTTTTTTATCATTAATACGAGGAACAAAAATAAACTAGCTTTTCTAGACAGTCGTCTTCACAAAGTATCAAATTCATTTAAGGGCCAATCTATACGTTTCTATTCAGTAAGTCAACTAAAGGTTGTTTATTATACAACGTCTGCGTATTTGGATGATAAAAAACCGTGGTTGACCCGTTTAGCTCTTTCAGGTAGTCTCGATCTAAGATGTTTAAATTAAATATTGTTACGATAAAAGTATTTAAATGTATATTTACAATTACCCCCAGAGTTTCATGATAATTCTTCTCAGGGGAATCTGTCTTACGATTGAGCAGTGGAGTTTAATCAGTATGACGATTGCAAGATTTCAAGTGTAATTTGCTTGCCTATGTAATAAAGATTATTTAGCCATGATTTTCGAAAAACCGTCGTGACTAGTTGAGGCAAATTTTTCAGGCATTTTTTCGGTTTATCACTCTTCACGTCTGTGGGTGTAATTCGTGTTAATCTTGTTTTATCAGCGAGTTCTTTATAAATAACGCAAACAACAATTTTAAAATCCCTGCTGTATACAAAATAGTGTACTCCGAAGAGTCAATAAAATCAGCATTTCTAAGATCGTCGAGATCAATTTAATTAGCTAAGACACATAGTTCTAATCACGGAGGAAAAAAACAACTGAAGTGACATAAATCTCGATTACTATCAGAATCGCAGTCGCCAAAACTCAGACATTCATAATTTCAAACACTATGAAATTTTGATAATGATTGATCGTTGTTTCAAATTTAAAGAGAACAAATTCTGGACTTTATTTCTTTTTTGTTGTTTAACCCTTTTACTCTGTTGGCATATTGTTGAAAGTACAATACCATAATTCCTATTATTGCAAGTCAAGGCCTTTTGATTTTATATTAAAATTTCTATCAATGTGCTGCCATCTAGCGGTTAACAACTGAACGATGATGAATTCGACATGTTTATTAAGTCCTTCAAAAAAGAAGCTACCATATTGCAGCGGTATAAGTTTACTTTCGCTTCTTGTAACAAACAAATGAATTACAATTAAATAAAAATGATGATACGAAACACCACAGATAATGTTACAAGTGCGACTATTATTTTTGCACTCCAAAAAAGCGAAATAAGTTATTTTTTTACGGTTTTCGAGGTTTTGAATGAGATAATAGACACGACCATAACGTACGAAGCCAAAATGGCGGCCTGAGCTCAAGTTTGCGGAACTCCGCGAACTGTTGGCACACATGCCACGTTAACTAAGCACTTCTACTGCATTTATTGTTCTGTTGTTATTGTGCGTTATTATTATTATTCCTAAAAAGTCGTTCGACCAAAGTTGTTGTTTATGATGTTAGCAATATAGTCCTGGGAGGTTGTTAGTATTTTACAAAAATCGTGAATATCTACCATCTATTTTCAGTAATCAACCTGAACCCTTGTCATTATCACCGCCAGGCACTACAGGAGAAAATCAAATAACTAATGACCTTCGTAGACAACTATTACGAAGAATCTTTACAATGTGCCTAATTAGTTTCTGTCTAGATTTTTTAATTAAGATGTAGATGATTCTCCTAATGACTTCCGTTACAACGCTAGTCCATTTCCATTAATGTAATTGAGCTGAAAGTCCCTCGCTTTATAGGCAAGTATAATTCATTGAAAGATTAAAACACCTTGCAGTTTGAAATTCACTCCATATCTAAAATTTAAGGCTATTCTGCATAAAAGAAGAAGTACATAGTTCGAGTAGCCCATTGTACTATACTAATTTTCAGTCTTATTTTTGTTCTCCATGTAAACGTTCGTCCCCTATTTCACCCCATTTAACATTCATTTTTGTGATAAAAAGTACCCTATGTCCAAGAAGTGGGTGATAAATAACGTCACGATCAAAAAAATACAGTGATCAGCTTTCAAGTAATATCACCGTCACTTTTCACGAAGGAACGACGCGACGACGTTCCAAAATCACATAGGTTGTTCCTCCGTTCCACGAACCGAACCCGTCACTTGAAAAGCACTTTAAAAAGTTTGCTTTTTAAAATAAGCGCATGAGCACGCTTTTTATTTTAACCGTAAGCTTTGGTCAGTTCTATACTCAACAATTTCTTTTACAACATGCCAATTAATTAATTCGTCAATGTGAATAAGAATTTTATAAATGAAAATAAAACTCGTGTTTTACAAATAAACTTACTTATCTTAAAACCTTTAGTGGTCTACTCTTGCTTTTCGCTATCAACACAACGTTGCAAGCTTTTTTAACATAAAAGTCCATGTGCTTAAACGTTTTTCTAAACGATTTTTTAAGCTTCATAGTAAAATAAGTGAAAAGCATCTAAAAAGCACGCTTTTTAAAAAGCTACAACGTTTAAAACTTTACAAAAATAAGCAGGTTTTCCCATCTCTACTCACATTACGACAGAGGCATACGACGTATTTTACAAACAAAATCATGCGCAATCAGAGACTGCGCTACTCATTGTAGTTCGCTTTTTAAATTCTGATTATGAATCAAGGAATAATTAGATCAATAATATAAATACCGTATAAAAATTGTAAATACAAGTAAGATAATTGTACAAAATTGATCCAAAACGATAAACACGCCACGTGGTCTTTTAACGAATATTGCGACGAACCTGTAAAAATTACTGCGGATAATTTTTTTAAATGAAACGAATCCTTCATCAAAGTGAGTACTTATAACGACTATTACAATACCGGCACTTTATGATGGCCGTTTTGATAGATCAGATTACAATAGTGATGTCAAATCTCAATTCATTATCGAAAAAAAATATAATCAAATGCGAGTCGCGTCTATAAGTTTTTAGATTTATAACTAGTACTGCAAGGGGTAGCTGATTATAAAGTTTTAATAAAACGAAAAGAAAAATGTTTACTTAATATATCGTCAATTCGAAACTGCTTTATTTTACATTGAGTTTTGACACGAGTTCGCCGGAGGTAAAAGTTGTGCTGGACAGCGACCCCGTAAGAGACGATGGTATTAGGATTTCATTTTTAGAAATTTCGAATTTCGAAAAAAGTTGTGTCGTAAAATTATACATCCATAAATATTACTGCACCTCACTATTGACAACAATGTACATCAATTAGCTCCTTCAACGTAGTTATGAATTAATACGAAACTTGATGAGCGGACAAACGTCAAAACGGCCATCACAGCGTGCCAGTAGAAAGTAGCCGCTTGTCACCATAATCCATATCGTGATGTAAGTGACAGGCGTGACAAAATCACGGTGATTTTTTGCAACTGAAACAATAGGCACGTTGATAGAGATGTAACGCTATGTCTACAATTGTTCTCCTAGATCCCATTTATCTCTACCAAAATTCGTCAAAATTGGTTCACCGTTTCAGCCGTGGGATTATAAAAGAAAGACAGAGTTAGTGTCGCATTTATAATATTAGTTTGAATTCGGCATTTACTAGACAAACTCGTAACATGAGATTGTGGCCAAGCGTGTATCTGTTTTGAATTAAATGAAACGTATATAGGTATTCTATTGGGTGTCCCAAATTACACGCAAGAAGTAATTTTTTCAGGTTTATAATTAAAAATTGTAATTTTTTATTGATCAATGAAGTACATAATACAGGGTTATGTGTGGTAAAGCGTGTACACATTCACAAACTTTTCATGAAATTTTCGATGACCGTTTTGCAATAATTGTGGCTGAACCACGTTCATACAGCGCTCAATTTTCTTTAAGGCGTGGGTGGTATACATACGTTAACGTCTCATTATTATGTTTTTTAACCGACTTCAAAATATAGTGGCAAAAGGAACCAAACCTTACATTCTATTTATAGTACTTAAATGTCTATAAAATAAAGCATTTTATGGGTCATATTCTAGAACTCTACTCAATGCTCAAGTCAGGATTGTAATTGAAACACAAGCACTGGAAATACGACCCTAATGGCAGGGACATGAGTATGATTTCGAGTGCTTTAAACCATACTCAAATCCTGACTTGAGCATTGAGTAAAGTTCTAGAATACGACCCTAAGAGTGTTGCAACTAATATTAATTCGGCTACGAGCGTATACGAAAATTGGCACGAAAAATACCACTCTTCAACTTCAAATACGATAAAGAAAATTTTACAATGAAACAAAAATTTTTTTTTTAATAATTTTTTTAATTTACATTATTTCAATTAAAAAAGTAATTATTTATTTTACCTCACTTTGATTAATTTCCAAAAACTTAATTTTTTTTCGTTTGAAAATAACTTGGTCACGAATAATTCAATCAGGAATAAAATAAAGAATAAGTAGGTAGTTTTCATTAGTTATGACACTTTTTAACCAGTTAGAAAAATAACTTGTAAATATCCTTTACTCTTTCGATAAAGAAAGCGAAAAATGTGAAAAAACTTACAATATTTGTTCAGCATTAATAAAACATATATAATAATTTACTGAGTTTTTTCATATTTCTTCCTCCTGGTTTTAGGCATTTGATATTCTACAGAAAAGCAAAAAATAGGCCGAATAAGCCGAATACTATATAGTACCCAAATATTCCTACCAACTCTACTATTTACAAATACGGAGAAAACTAAAAGGGTTGATATTGAATTCTGATATAAAGTGTCTTTGTTTTTGTATCAAAAAGGATAAATATTTTTCATTGAAAAAGCCTTTAAAAAATTCCTTGATAGCAATTTGTTCGATAACGACCCTTGAAAACAATAAAAGGTATCCTCCGCGTAAATATAAGAAAAAAATATTTTTAAATGGAGGTACAAATATAATACTGAGTGAAAAGAAAGTCCGAGTTTGCTAATACTCCATAAACCACTGGTTGTTGTAACTTCATTGAGAGGTTTAGAGATTATGT